GCCTAATGAGAAACGAAGAGGAAGATGGGCCCGGGATGTGGTGAGGTCGCAGTGCGTCTCTGACATTGGCCAAGCGAAGGAAGCCCAGCCCTCCAGCCAGGGCGATAGGTTGGTCCGACGTAGCCGTGGATTGGCCGAGCCCTGGGGGGACCGTGGGGTTGGCGTGAAAGAGTCAGTGAAATGGAAGAGAGGGAGAGGCGACGGGAAAGAGCGAGAGAGGGACGTTTACGAGAGAGGGCGCTTGGCTTGTGGGGCCTCCTCGCGTCTTAGTGCTGGGAATGAGAATCACAGGAGCCTGAAGGACAGGGCTGGGCAGGGCAAGGCGGGAGAGAGAGAGAGAGAGAGAGCCTCAGACAACACTCTTGTTCGCTGTGTGGTCCACCAGCTATAGGCAGGTGAGCACTGCTGCGCGTGAGATTCGCTTTATATGAACCCAGCCAATGTGTTGGGTCATTACATCAGGAGACATGCGGAACACTGTTCAACTGTTCAACTAATCTCCTGAATACTGTACTGAGTAAGCAAGCGAGGGGACACGGGTTCGATTCCCGGGCAGGGTGAAACCTTAGGCAAGTTTCCTTACTCCATATGCCTCTGTTTACCTGGCAGTAAGCAGGAACCCGGTTCTTAGTCGATTAGGGGATCATTTCTGGGCTTAATAAACCCTCCCGCCCAAAATATAATCATAATTTGGTCGCTTAATCCACGACTGTTTGTAGGACACTGCTGTGCGCAATTGGCTGCCGCGTTTCGTCCACAGAATATGCAGTCAATTCGCATTCGAGGATATTCTGTGAAGCGCTTTCAGACGTCTCGAAGACGTGATAAGGCGCTATATCAAATGCAAGGATTATTAGTGTTATTACGTGGGGCACAGAATATGCTCACTGCACAGGGCTCTCTTTGTCTTCAGTGAGGGGCCTGTTCAATGGGTAGTCAGTCCTGAGATGTTAGCACTTGGTGTGCAAACACTTATATTAGCAGCCTGTCACGTTTATAACTAAGTGAGTGTATCTTTGTATATATGTAGTGCCTATGTAAGTAGTGTATACATATATATATACACATATACACACGTGTGCACACATACTCATAGACAAACACACACATGTGCTTGTGCATTCATATGTACGCGTTCATATGGGGTGCCTTTATGAAGATTTGTGCACGTTTATATAAGTGAGCTATGTTCAGATGTGCGTGCGTATGTGTGTTCATAAGTGCGCAAAAGATGGGTGTTTATGTGTTAGTTTGTGTGTTTGTTTACTTGAGTGTGTTTATGTGTGTGTGCTCCCGTTTGTAAATATGTGTATATGAGTATGTGTATGTGTTTATATATCTGAGTGTGTGTATATATACATGCGTGTGTATCTATATGTATGTGACTGTGTAAATGTATGTGTGCATGTGTGTACCTTATGAGTGTGCGTGGCATATATGTATATGTGCATAGTGTGTATGTTTGTGTGTACATGTGTATGTATATATAAATATACATGTATACACTACATACATAGGCATATGTCTGCCATATGCATTTGCATATATTTTTTGTGTATGTGTGTATATGGGTCAGCATAATTGTGTGTATGTAATCGCGTGTGTGTGTATGTAAGTATGTGTGTGTGTATGTTGGCTGTGAATTTAGTCACATTCGCAATCTGAATGACCTATGAGAAGCTGGAGATGTTCTGTCTATGTATGAAATGTGTGGATGTCTTTATGGTATCACAAAAAACTCACCCATCCGTGACGACATTGTGGAGTCCTGTAACTCAGTGGTTAGAGCACTCGCTTTGCAAGCGAGAGCCCTGAGTTCAATTCCAGGAGCGATATGACGTCCTCCTTACATGAAAGGCACTACACAAAAGTAATTTGTTGTATTAAATGCAAGGGTTACTATTATTATAAAGAGGTAAATCAGACAATATGTTATAGCGAGCTACATCGAGGTGTTATAAAGGTACAGTATATTGGAATGTGACAATGAGTCTGTGATAAAGAGATACGCGTGTGATGTTGAGCTGTGCTGAGTTATTGTGATTGATACTAGTTATAATGAGAGTACAATATGTTATGTAGCCACAGACATTTGGTAATCACTTCAGAGACGTTTGGAGGATGTCTGAGTGATTGCTGCAGAACACAACCTTCCTCTTAGTAAACTGTCAATCACACTGAACAAAACCTTCCCCCTTGGACACCCACAACAACATAATTGCTGACAGCGTTGCACTGTTTGCTCTGTTTATCTTGCGCAGTATATTGTTTAATTCCCTGTTTCTGCACACTAGTCGCCATAGACTTGTCAGAGTTAGAAACCTCTGGGAGTTGGAGAATGGAGGAATCAAGATTCGAACCTCAATAGTCACTGGCGGTGACGAGGGACAAAGGCCGATATTACAGAGACTTGAGACTGGGACAATTTAGTCCAAGTTGGTAAGTGATGTTTGCTTTGCTGCAGGTGCTGGGGATTGTTTTTGATGGATTTTTCCTCCCAGTAGCTTAGCTCTGAATGGAGGTGTGGGACAGTGATCCCCACGTGCTTAACGGGGATTCTTCCCTCCACAAATTTCAGATTACTGTGTCACCCTGGCTCAGTTGGTAGTACTCTCGCCTCTGAGTAGGAAGGTTGTGGGTTCAAGCCTCACGTCGGACCTTCGAATCACACAGTCTAAGATGACACTTCAATGCAGTGCTGGGGGTTGAGAACGTTGGAGGTGTCGTCCTTAGGATCAGATGTTAAGCCAAGGTCCCGTCTGCCTATTCAGGTGGACATTAAAGATCCCATGACACTATTTGAAAAGAGAAGGGAATTTCTCGCTCCCGCTGTCCTGGCCAACAATCCCTCAGATAAAAATTGGTCATTTACTCCATGACTGTTTGTGGGACACTGCTGTGCGGAAATGGCTGCCGCAATTCACCCACAAAATACAGTCACAACAGTTTATAGTCTATAAATGTAAGCTTGTTGTTGTTGTGAAGCGCTTTGACACGTCTTAATAACGGGATAAGATATCATATCAAATGCAAGGATTATTATTATCATTATCCAGAACTGTATATTTCTCACACAAATATAGTCAATTCACTTTACAGCTTATTCTGTGAAGCGCTTTGAGACGTCTAGAAGACTTGAAAAGCGCTATATCAAATGCAAGGATTATTATTTATTATAACTCTTAAGCTTGTCTCCTCTCCTGTACCAAGCTCTATGAGCCGATCACCCCCATCGTCGCCTGGCTCCACCGGCTCCCCATCCCCCAGAGGATCGAGTTTAAAATCCTCATCGTCACTTTTAAAACCCTCCATGGCCTTGCTCCTCCCTCCCTCTGTGGATGAGCCTTCAGCCTTTCTGCCCCCACCCTCTGGAACTCCATCCCCAAATCCCTTCACCTCGTCCCCTCCCTCACCTCCTTCAGAGCCCGTCTCAAGACCTTCCTCCTTGACCGTGCCTTCGGCCATATTCCCACACCTCCTACTCTATACCCCTGAGATGCCGTCCGGCGTGGAGGGCGCTGTATAAATCCAAGTTGTTGTTGATTCCAATGCCCAGCTTGGGTGCAAACCCTTAACTATCCAGCACCTTGGGATGCCCTTCCAATATAAAAGGCGCTGTATAAATGTATTTGTTGTTGCTGTTGTTGAACGTAGACTATGATGTTTTATCTTGTACTGAACAGTAGAACCAGAGGACACAGTCTGTGATTGAAATGGGGGTAAATTCAAAACACTTCTGCAGAAACACTACTGTGGAGTCCTGTAGCTCAGTGGTTAGAGCACTCTTTGCAAGCGAGAGACCTGAGTTCAATCCCAGGCAGAGGCGAAACCTTGGGCAAGTTTCCTTACTCCTCACAGAGCCTAATAATAATTCCTCCAAAACCCAAAACAATAATAAATTGGTCATTTTCAATCTACGACTGTTTGTGGGACATTCCTGTGCACAATTGGCTGCCGTGTTCGCCCACAAATATACAGTCAATTCACTTTACAGTGTGTTCTGTGAAGCGCTTTGGGACGTCCTCCCGACGTGAAAAGCGCTATATCAAATGCAAGGATTATTATTATTATTATTACTGCAGTGAACGAGTAGTAAATGTATGGAACAGGCTCTCTAGGGAGACGGTGGAAACAGAAAGTGACAATTCATTCAAGAACAAATTAGATAGATGTCTGTGAGAAAATAATATCTCAGTATACAGTTTGTGACATAGAACCATAGAATTATATAGCACAGAAGGAGGCCATTCAGTCCATCGTGTCTGTGCTGGATCTTTGAAAAGAGCTATCCAAATCATATGCTTGCGACTGCTAGGATGGTGGAAGGTGAACTGGATGGACCTTGGTTTTCTTTCGCCTAGCAAATTCTTCTTTTATTATGTTCTTATGAGCTGAGCAAGGAATAAACCTGAGCTTTACATTGTAAATAAAATTGGTGACAAATTGTACAAAATATTCAACAGTGCTGCAGAAGAAAAGCCACAGTATCATTGTAAAGTAGAAGCAGGGAAGGTAAATGAAAGCGAGAAAAAAGCCTAGATAATAATATTTGTATTCATAATAAATAATAATCCTTGCATTTGATATATCGCTTTACCATGTTGTTGAGTTGTCATAAAGGGCTTCACAGAATATAATGTAAAGTGGATTGAATGAGCATTTTGTGGGTGAAACGCGGCTGCCAATTGCGCACAGCAGTGTCCCACAAACAGTCATGGATTGAAGTGACAAATTGTTATTATTATTTAGTTTGAAGAGATTATTACCCCCGGAAAGCGATCCGCCAATCGACTAACAAGCGGATTCCTACTTACAGCTAGGTAAACAGAGGCGTGTGGAGTAAGGAAACTTGCCTAAGGTTTCGCCCTGCCCAGGCCCAGGCCCAGGCATCAAACAAGGGACCTCTCGCTTGTGAGACGAGTGCTCACTGAGTTATGGGACTACACAACACAGGGGATAAGAAGCTCCTGGAGTCCTGTATGAACCTCTCCTATGGTCTCTTATTTTGCAGGCTGCCTCCTCTAACTCGATGGACCTGGTCGCTGCTCTTGTAATCCTCAGTGTCCATGTGTTCGGGTGCTGGGGCTGCCCGGCTAGATGCCGGTGCTACAGCACGACGGTGGAATGCGGTCCCTGGGGCTGACCAGAGTGCCCGCCGACATTCCCTCGTCTACCCAGGTAATGTGGAATCTCAGGATGCCACGCACGTGTCCAGACACAGCAACTCCTAACGGGAAATTCATTTGTTCTTATTGTGTTCAAACATGTCCCGGGAATGTAAGCGCATCCCTTCCCCTGATCTCTTCCCTCCGCCCATCCCCGTCCACCCCCACTTAAACAGTTCAAGTCCTTTACTGACTACATGTGGTGCGCCATACATCATTTGCTGAAAGATCGTCCATTACCCTGTTTCACTATTCCAATGCCCTCCTCGCCACTCTCCCCAGCTCCACTACCCACGTACTACAATGGATTAAGCAGTAAGCGGGGGCTGGGGGGAGGGTTGGGTGGAAGCCAAAACATAAGGCAAGGAGAGGATGAGAGCAACGGTCAGAATACAAATAGTGGTAAAGATGACATAAATACTACAGGAAAGAAAAAGGTAATAGAAAGTTATCACAAAAACAAATCAAAACAGCGTGAGAAGAACATCGTCAGGCGTATAAGCATGTTGGGAACAGTTACCCACATAAGAGTTATGTATACAAATGCATGTAACATAAGAAATAAAACAAGTGAGTTAGAAGCACAAATTCAACTTAAACGGTACGATGTAGTAGCCATTATAGAGACCTCGTTACAAGCTGGGCAGGACTGGGAGCTAAATATTCCAAGCTATAAGATCTTTAGAAAAGACAGAGACATTGGGAAAGGAGGAGTAGCGGCATTGATAAAAGACACAGTGGAAAGGAAAGATTTCCGTAAGGGCGATCAGGTAATTAAAGAACAGCAAAGGATGTAAGATTCTACGGGGAGTTGTCTACAGACCTCCAGAGAGTTGTGATGTCGTGGGGACGTGTATAAATACAGAGATCAGGGAAGCATGTAGCAAAAGCAATGTGGTTATTATGGGAGATTTTAATTTTCACAGGCTGGGAGAAGCAGGACACCTCAGGTAGTAAAGTGAACAAATTTCTGGAATGTATTCAGGACAGTTTTTTGGAACAATATGTTTTAGAACCAACAAGGGAACAAGCCATACTGGATTTGGTGATGAGTAATGAGCCAGAACAAGTTAACAGTCTGACAGTAAGGGAACATCTTGCGTATCGTGATCATAATATGATTGAATTTGACATTGGATTTGTGAGGCAGAAGGCAGTGTCCCAAACTAGGATTTTAAATTTAAGTAAGGCAAACTTCAAAAAAACTTTGTATTCAAAAAAGTATTTGATACAATGCAGAATAAGTACATGCCCCTAAAATGCAAAAGCTCCAATTGTGCAGTTAAGCAACCATGGTGGACAAAAGACGTTAGAGACTGTATCAAGCTCAATGAAAAGGCTTACTCAAATGCAAGAAAAAGTGGGAATGCAGAGAACTGGGAGAACTACAAAAGGCAACAAAGGTATACAAAAAAAAAGTAATAAGAGGAGCAAAAAGAGTATGATAAAAAAACTTGCAAGGGATATTAAAAGCTTTTATAAATATATTAAAAGAAAGAAAATGGTCAAGGAGATTGTGGGTCCGTTAAAGACAGATGCAGGTGAGACTATAAGCGGAAAATAAGGAAATGGCTGACTTGTTAAATAAATACTTTGCTAGCGTTTTTACAGTAGAGGATGAGGACAAAATACCAGCCGTACAGGGGAACCTAAAAATAAGTCAAAGAGAGCTTGATAAAATTAATACAAATGAAACAATGGCAATGGAGAAAATGGCGTTTCGCCCACAGAATATACAGTCACTACACTTTAGAGTGTATCCTGTGAAGAACTTTGTGACGTCTTGAAGACGTGTTAAGGCACTATATCAAATGCAAGGATTATTAGTATTATTTAGTGGTGGGGCCTGATCCTGAGCTGGGAGGGGGGCTGGTGAGGAGTTGACCATAACCACGGTTGAAGAGGAAGAGGGGGAGGAGGGGGGCAAGGCAGAGGGACTGAGGGAGAGCGTTCCAAAGCTCGGGACGTAGATGCTGAAAGCGCGGCCGCCGATGGTGGAGCGGAGGGGACGAGGGACAAGCAGGAGGCCAGAGCCAGTCAAGCGGAGTCAGTGGCTGGTGGAGTCGGGATAAAGCAGGTCAGAGAGGTAGGGAGGCGCCAGAGTGTGAAGGAATTTGTAGACGAGTGAGAGGATCAAAATCACAAATCAACATAAGGAAATTTTGGAAAAGTCTTTTTTTGCAGTGGGACAAACGATTTCACTTGCTTCATGGCAGGGTGCAACTGTTTGATAGGACAACATTCATGCCTGTCATTTACCGCTCAATATTTATCTTGTTTTCTGGCTGATAGGCATTGTTTTCTTCCGTGTCTGATCAGGAAGCAGTCGGCACTCCAAATACCATTTTGTTTTTACACTAAAAAAAAGCTGATTGAAGGACATTCCTGAGTTATTCATCACGTTTCTCATTGCACAGTATCGTTGAAACAAACTTCATAGGTGTATCTATCTGCAATCAGATCATCCGTAACCCTCGAGTTTTACAATGCATAACTTCTTAAATGTATATTTTTGTTTGGGCAACGGTGGCATGAGAACACTTATTGATCAAACTGTGATAATAAACATTAAAGTAAGATATGGCCTTATAATAGTAAGTGGCATATCTATCAAAACATGCACACTTGTGTGGAATAGAGTCTACTTGTGTAGACTCACGTTCCAATCCTGTGCTCGGTGTTTGCTCATTGTTGTAAGTGCCATTGTTCGGATGAGATGTTAAACCGAGATACTGGTCTGGCTGTTCAGGTGGCTGTTAAGGATCCCCTGTTTTGATAGACAAAGAGAGAGAGAAAGAATGTCTGGGCTGATGATTGTAATGATAACAGAAGATAACTCTTTCTGGTAACAGAAGGAAGGTGAGCTGTTATGGTCTGAAGTGGCTGAAATCAATATTGAGGCCAGAGGGCTGTAGATAAGATGCTGTTCTACAACAACAACAACAAAATGACATTTATAGAGCGCCTTTCACGTCGGGAGGACGACCCAAAGCGCCGAACAGTCAGGTGTCGGGGCCCGAGCATGGGGGAGGGGTGGTGTAGGGGTGAGGGAAGGCAGAGAGGTGGGAGGGAGACCAAAGGCACAGTCGAAGGGTCTTCAGACCAGCCTTGAAGGAGGTGAGGCAAAGGGACCGTGGGAGTTCCAGAGCGTGGGGGCAGAGAGACTGAAAGCCTGGCCACTGAGGGTAGGGCGGTAGACATGGAGCAGGCCGGAACTCGATGAACGGAGAGAGCGGGCAGTTGGTAGGGAGTCAGCAGGTCAGAGAGGTAGGAAGGGGCAAGGCCATGGATGGCCTTAAAGATGAGGACAAGGATCCTGAACTCGATCCTCTGGGGATGGGGAGCCAGTGGAGTTGGGCGAGCATGGGAGTGATGGGGTCACGGAGTCTGGTGCGTGAGAGTACATGAGCTGCAGAGTTTTGGATGATCTGCAGCTTGTGAAGGGAAGAGTTGGGAAGGCCGATGAGGAGGGAGTTCCCGTAGTCGAGCCTTGATGTGACGAATGCATGGGTGAGGGTTTCGGCAGCCTGAGGGGTGAGGCAGTGGCGGAGTCTGGCAATATTGCGGAGGTGGTGGTAGGCAGTGCCAGTCATGGTGCAGATGTGGGGGAGAAAGGACAGTTCAGGGTCAAACAAGATACCCAGGTTCCTGACTGGCTCAGTGCAGCCGTGGAGGCTGAAGCTGCCAGCGCCTGAGGTGCGGAGGCGCTGGTGCAAGCCAATCAGGAGGGCCTTGGTCTTGCTGACGTTGAGTTGGAGAAAGTTGTCCCTCGTCCAGGACTTGATGTTGGACAGGCAGTCAGTCAGGACCTCAGTAGTCCTGGAGTTCAGAGTGGAGGAAGAGAGGTAGAGTTGGGTGTCATCTGCATACATGTAGAAATTTACCTTATGTCTGCGGATGATGTCACCAAGGGGGAGCATGTAGAGGGTGAAGAGGAGGGGACCATGGACAGAGCCCTGAGGAACACCGCATGAGACGGTGCGGGGCTAGAGGAGAAGATGTTTACCACGATGAAGTGGAGGCAGTGTGAAAGGTAGGACCTGAACCAGTCAAGGACAGAACCTTGAAGGTTGAGGTAGGAGGAGAGGCGGTGGAGGAGGATTGAGTAGTCCACGGTGTCAAAGGTGGCAGAGAGGTCGAGAGATTGAGGAGGCAGAAGGAGCCCTGGTCACACATGGTCAGGATGTCATTTGTGACCTTGACCAGAGCAGTTTCCATGCTGTGTTCCTCAAGTTTTCGCTGTGGATCCCCTCATATGAAATTGATCATATGTTTCAAATATATATAAACATTGCAAATATAATTTGAGATATTTACAACAACAACAACAAGATTCCATTTATTGAGCGCCTTTCACATCGGGAGGACGTCCCAAGGCGCTGTACAGTTGGGTCAGGACCCGAGCAGGGGGGGAAATGGTGAGGGGAGGGAAGGGAGGGAGCGAGGAGGGGGTAGAGACATTAATTACAGAAATTCTACTTCCTGAGATTTCTCCCCAACTGGGAATCGAACCCAGATCCTCTCGCTTGTGAGGCGAGTGCTTTTACCAATACACTACAGGACTCCACAGGAACCTGCCGGTCAGCAAATAAAGACCTATCTGTAGACAGATATTTACTTTGCAATCTTTTTTGGGCCTTTTTTCAGATTAGAAACTTCTCGAAAGCAAATCACAATTGAAAGACAGATATCCGCTGCCACACCCTGGAGTCACAGATTAATCTTATCTATGATTGACTCATTAAATCTTGCTGAATCAGCTGCCTACTGAAAAGAAAGAACTTTGTTTAGATCTGCATTGTGTAGTGATTAGTCACCATCTAAAATACCCAGACATGTATGAGATTTTCATTGGCCAACCCATTGACCCTATCACTTAACTTCTCAGTTTAAAGTATTTATGTTAAATAAATACTTTGCTACCCTTTTTACAGTAGAGGATCAGGACAAAATACCAGCTGTACAGGGGAACCTAAAAATAAGTCAAAGAGAAATGTTTAATAAAATATAAATAAAACAATGGCAATGGAGAAAATAATGGGACTCCAGATGGATGAATCTCCAGGACCTAATAGGAGAGAAAATTGCAGATGCATTTGCTATAATTTTCTAAAACTCATTAGATTCAGGAATTGTGCGCTTAGATAGGAAAATTGCAAATGTCACCCCTTTATTTAAGAAGGGAGGGAGAAACCAGGAAACTACAGACCAGTCAGTTTAATGTCAATTGTAGGGAAAATACTGGAATTCATCATCAGGGACAGAGTGACTGAACACTTGGACAGGTATGAGCTAGTCAAAGAGACTCAGCAAGGGTTTGTGAAGGGTAGGTTGTGTCTGACTAATCTCGTTGAATTTTTTGAGGTCACTAAAATGCTGGATAAAAGAGTGTCTATGAATGTCGTTTGTATGGGCTTTCAGAAGGCGTTGGATAAGGTTCCACACAACAAATTGACAAAAATGGAAGCGCATGGAGTCGGACGTAATCTTGTGACGTGGCTTGGTAATTGGTTGGAAGGCAGGAAACAGAGACTAGGGATAAAGAAAATGTTCTCTGATTGGTGACAAGTGGTGTCCCCCAGGGGTCTGTACTGGAACCCCAGCTATTCACCATAGATATATATATATATGTCTTGGATGAAGGAATAGAAAATTTTATATCCAAGTTTGCAGGCAATACTAAGCTAGGAGGCTCAGTAAATTGTCCAGATGGGAGTAGGAAGTTACAAAGGGACAGGTTAAGTGAGTGGCCAAAGCTGTGGAAGATGGGAGTTCAATGTAGTCATTCACTCTGGACCGAAAAAAGATAAACCAGAATATTTTCTTAATCGGGAGAAATTAAGAACTGTAGGCGCAGAGAGATTTGGGTGTCCATATTCACAAATCACTAAAAACTAATTTCCAGGTGCAAAAAGTAATCAAAAAGGTAAATGGAATGTTGGTCTTTATCTCGAGGGACCTGGAATACAAAGAGGAAAAAATGCTGCTTCAGGTTTATAGAGCGTTAGTCAGACCCCATCTGGAGACTGCGTTCAGTTTTGGGCACCACACCACTGGATAGATATATTGGAGGTTCACCAGAATGTTACCAGGCCTAAAAGAGTTGTTACCAGGAGAGGCTGCGTAAACTTGGATTGTATTCCCTTGAGTTTAGAAGGTTGAGGGGTGGTTTGATTGAGATATTTAAGACGTTGAAGGGATTTGATAGGGTAGATACAGAGAAGCTATTTCCTCTGGTGGGGGAATCCAAAACAAGGGCCATAGTCTTAACATTAGAACCAGGCCATTTAAGAGTGAAATCAGGAAGCAATATTTCACTCAAAGGCTGGTAGAAATCTGGAATTCTCTCCCCCAAACGGCCGTGAATGCTGGATCCACACCTTCAAGAGTGAGGTTGATAGATTTTTGGTAGGTCAGGGTATTAAGTGATATGGGGAGAAAGCGGGAAATTGGAATTGAAACAACAACTTGGATTTATATAGCGCCCTCCACGTCGGACGGCGTTTCAGAGTGCTTCACAGTAACAGAACCCGGGACCGAGCCAGGGGGAGGGGGAGGAAGGTGACCAAAGGCGCGGTCGAAAAGAAAGGTCTTCAGCAGAGAAATAATTTGTTGAGATGCAGATCAGCCATGATCTAATTATATGGCAGAACAGGTTCAAAAGGCTGAATGGCCTCCTCCTGTTCCTGATTCAGAACTCCACCACCCAGATTCTCACCCACATTAAACTCTGTACCTCCATCACACTAGTCCTCGCCAGGCTCTACTGGCTCCCTATCACAGGACAGATTGATTTAAGATCCTCTCACATCTCTACAAATCCCTTCACGCCCTGGAACATCCATACCTCTCTGATATGCTTATTCCCCACTTCACTACCCTCTGCCTGTGCTCGACTGGGGTTCTGGCCCCCTGCTTGTCCCTTGTCCCCTCTGCTCCACCATCAGCTCCACCATCAGTGGCCACGCTTTCAACCACTATGCCCTGAAACTCTCTCCCGCAATCCTTACACCATGCCCCCTCCTTCCTCTCTTTTAGATCAATACTGAAGACCTTCCTCTTTGGCCATGCTTACGGTCACCTCCTCCCTCCCCCCGGCTCGGCATCAGACTTCACCACTGTTAAGCGCTCTGAGACACTAGCCCGCGTGAAGGGCGCTATATAAATGCAAGTTGTTAATGTTGAGTTAACATTAACAACTTGAGTTAATGGATGTCCACACTTTCTCTCAGACCATATTCCTGCAAGACAACAACATTGGTCACGTCAGGCGTCTGGACTTCTTCAGTCTTCCAAAACTGCAGAACCTCTACATCCAGAACAACAGCCTGGTCACCATTGAGGCGGGGGCTCTGTCCAGCCAGCACTTCCTGGTGGAGCTGGCTCTCAATGGCAACCGGCTCCGACAGCTCAACAGCAGCATTTTTGAGGGGCTGGAGCATCTACGGGTGCTATACCTGGCGGGCAACCACATCACCCAGCTGGCGGACTACACCTTCTATGGGCTTCAGGTACACTTAGCTCCCAGCTGTTTTCACTGCTGTTACAGTTCACAGTGCCTTGGGACGTCCTCCCGACGTGAAAGGCGCTCTATAAATGGAATCTTGTTGTTGTTGTTATTCCTGACTCACTCTTTATGTAACCTGTTCTACAGCTGACCTGGGAGTGCTACACAACAAGTTGCATTTATATAGTGCCCTTCTCACAGGGTAGCGTCCCAGAGCCATTAACAGTGGCGGAGCACAATACCAAGCAGGGGGAAGGGAGCTGACCATAGACATAGTCCAAGAGGAAATACTTCAGGCGTGACTTGAAGATAGGGAAGCATGGGGCAAGGCAAAGGGATAATAATAATAATAATAATAATCCTTGCATTTGATATAGCGCTTTTCACGTCGGGAGGACGTCCCAAAGCGCTTCACAGAATAGACTGTAAAGTGAATTGACTGTATATTTGTGGGCGAACGCGGCAGCCAATTGCGCACAGCAATGTCCCACAAACAGTCGTAGATTGAAAATGACCAATTTATTATTGTTTTGTTTTGGAGGGATTATTATTAGGCTCTGTGTGGAGTAAGGAAACTTGCCCAAGGTTTCGCCCTCTGCCTGGAATTGAACTCAGATCTCTCGCTTGCAAAGCGAGAGCTCTAACCACTGAGCTACAGGACTCCTCTACAGGATAGAGAAAATGTAAAAATATTGCGAGGAAATATGTAAATATATATATAGTTGTATAAATATACTGTATGTCCATGTATAATGTGGACAAAGTAGAGGGAGGTTTATCTCTAATCTGTGCTGTAGCTGACTGTCACTGCTGCTGGACGGATGGGGAGAGGCCTTTATTCTGGTGAGAGGCCTTTTCCCTGTACCTAACCCATGCTACCGCCACCTAGGAATGTTGGACAGTGTAGAGGGAGCTTTATTCCATCTCTAACCTCCGCTGCAGCTTACCTGGATGTGCTGCTTAGGGTACTGTAAAGGAAGCTTTCCTCGGTCTTTAACACAAAGTGTAGCTGACCTGATAGTGCTGGACAGAAGTGTAGAGGGAGGTTTTCTCTGTCTCTAATCCTTGTTGTAGCTGACCTGGCAATACTAAATTGGCAATCTACAGGGACCTTTATTCTGTCTCTAACCTGTGCTGTCACTAATCTGGGTTGTTCGTGTAGTATATTGATTGGAGCACTAGCCTCACAAGCAAGAGGTCCCGGGTTTAATTCCCAGGCAGGATGAAACCTTAGGCAAGTTTCTTTACTCCACACGCCTGTTTACCTAGCAGTAAGTAGGAACCTGGTTGATAGTTAATTGGCGGATTGCTTGCCACAGGTAATAATCATGACTGTTTGTGGGACACTGCTGGGCGCAATTGACGGCTGCGTTTCACCCACAAAATATAGTCAATTCACTTTACAGTATATTGGAGTCCTGTGGCTCAGTGGTTAGAGCACTCGCTTTGCAAGCGAGAGACCTGAGTTCATTTCCAGGCAGAGGGCGAAACCTTGGGCAAGTTTCCTTACTCCACACAGAGCCTAATAATAATCCCTCCAAAACTAAAAACAATAATAAATTGGTCATTTTCAATCTACGACTGTTTGTGGGACATTGCTGTGCGCAATTGGCTGCCGCGTTTGCCCACAAATATACAGTCAATTCACTTTACAGTGTATTCTGTGAAGCGCTTTGGGACGTCCTCCCGACGTGAAAAGCACTATATCAAATGCAAGGATTATTATTATTATTATTCTGCGAAGCGCTTTGAGACATCTCAACAATGTGATAAGGTGCTACATCAAATGCAAGGATTATTATTAATACCATGGGCAGTGTTGAGGGAGCTTTATTCAGTACATAACTCATGGTGTAGTTGACCTGGGAATGCTAGATGGACAGTTTAGAGGGAGCGTTACTCAGTCTTTAATCTGTGCTGTACCTAACGATGGAAACAGTCCGGGTAAGAGTTGGGGAACTGACAGGAAATTTTTTAATATGAGAAGAAAACATGATGAAATGTGGTGAATGTTTTTCAGAGGTTACACGAGCTGCACCTGCAGGAGAATAGGCTGCAGTTCCTGGAGGAGCAAGCACTGGCTGGTCTGTCTTCACTGGCACTCCTTGACCTCAGCAACAACCACTTGCGAACTCTCAGCCAGGCAGTTATCCGCCCCCTGAGGAGTCTCCAAGTCCTCAGACTCACAGGTCAGCATGTGATAATGAGGTGCTCATCAAATCCACCCACTGCGTCACACTGAATCTCACCAACAGTCTTGTAGGGTATTGGTTAGACCATTTTCCTCGCAAGAGAGAGGACCTGGGTTCGATTCCCGGACGGCGCGAAACCTTAGGCGAGTTTCCTCACTCCACACACCTGTTTAACCAAAAATAACAACAACAACTTGCACTTATATAGTGCCCTCCACGAAGGATAGCGTCTCAGAGCGCTTAACAGTGGTGGAGTCTGATTCCAAGCCGGGAGGGGGAAGTGACCAGAAGCACGGTCAAAAAGGAGATTTCAGGCGGGACTCTCGTCTCTTATTATGTGTCTTGTAATTATTATTTTTTATTATGTGTTTGTGTCTTACCTTATTATCACTATTAACGAGAGACAAGAGACACAAATGCATAAGAAATAATATTATTAATAATGAGACACAAGACTTCCCCGTGCTTTGAGACCTCTTGACGACATGATAAGACGCTATATCAAATGCAAGGATCATTAATAATAGTAATAATCATTGTATTTGAATCGAACCCAGGTCCTCTTACTTGCCAAGCGAGTGCTCCAACCAATAGTTCCGTCCACAAAATACAATCAATTCAGCTGACAGCATATTCTGCGGAGCGCTTTTAGGCGTCCGAAGACATAACGAGCCGCTATATAATAATAACCCTTGCATTTGATATAGCACCTTATCACGTCTTCCAGAGTCTCAAAGCACTTCGCGAAATGTACTGCAGAGTGAATTGCTACATCAAACGCAAGGATTGTTATTATTATTAGCATTATTTTTATTATTAACACGCCACGGGACTCCACGGTCTTATTTCGCGGGTGGTCTCTTTCCTTCTTCTCCGCCCACAACATCCGCGGTCGCTTTGGCTTCGCCGCGCATCCCCGCCAAGCGCGGTTGGGACGCCCGGAAGGCGTGATCCGGCGCCGCGCCGCGCCACATGCCAGGATCGCCGTCCGTGTCGCTTACCAACCCCGGTGTTTGTGTCATCCGTCCCCGTTAATACCGATACCTCGTCGTTGCCTGTTAGTTATGGGACGTGTGTGGGTGTCAAGTGGTCATTAATGTCTATAGGGTCATGTCATGGGTGTTGTTATGGGGGTCCCATTGCTGTTGTGAAGGAGGTGTCTCCTGTCCCCGCAGACAACCCCTGGCGCTGTGACTGCGCTCTCTTCTGGCTGCGCCGCTGGATCGACGAGCAGAGCCACCGCAACCGCAACCGGCGGCGGCGGCGGCGGCAGCTGCTGCTGCTCCTGTTGGGCAAGAAGCAGATCGTGTGCGGGGAGCCCCCGCGCCTGGCCCGCCAGAGCCTCCTGGACGTGCCGCGCAACAGCCTGGTCTGCATCCCGCCCGCCGTGCGCCTGGAGCGGGCCGAGCTGGCCGTGCCGGCCGGGGGCGACGTGCGGGTCACCTGCCTGGCCTCGGGCTACCCGCGGCCCGTGGTCACCTGGCGCCTGGCCCCGGCCGTCAGGGCCTCCGCCCTCTCCTCCTCCGTCTCCTCGTCGTCGTCGTCCTCGCCGCCGCGGTGGGGCCACACTCCGAGCCCGAGGGCCCAGGCCTCCACGGCCACCGGAAGCGGCACCGGAAGCGGCGTGCTGTTCCTTAGCAACGTGAGCGTGACGCAGGCCGGCGCGTACGAGTGCGAGGCGGCGAACGCGGGCGGCCGGGCCGCGCGGGCCTTCCTGCTGCGGGTCCACCGCCGGCCCGGCGCGAGCTCCGGCCCCCCGGGCCCAGGCCGGACTGGAGGCCCCGGCCTGGACGTGCGCAGGGAGCCGCTCCACAAGCCCGACTTCAGCCTGGACTTCGGCGCGCTGAGCGGCGCCACCCAGACCGGCATCGCCATCGGCATCTCGCTGTTGGCGCTGATCGCGCTGCTGCTCATGGCCGTCATCTGGCGGCAGCAGCAGCAGCGGCGGTGGCGGAGGAGAGAGCGGGGCAGAGGAGGCCAAGGCCGGGAGAGGCCGGGGCCCGGGGACAAGGCCCAACACCAGGCCCCGCAGCACTACCAGAACTTCCCCTCCTACCACGACTACTCCGACGGCCCCAACACCTTCGCTCAGCTCGAGGAGCTGCGCGACGCCACGGGCCGCGAGATGTTCGTCATCGACCGCCAGCGACGCGACTTCTTCACCTACAAGGACTCGGCCCGGGCCCAGGCCCAGCCCCGGCCCCGGCCCGGGCCCAGGCCGCCCAGGCACAGGAGGCGGCCGGTCACCCGGAGCAGCCCGAGCTGAGCGACCCACTGGGGGAGGAGCAGCAGCAGCAGCAGCAGCAGCGAGGGGTGGCGTTCAAGCAGGATGTAGCTTATGAGATCCACTGCTAGAGGAGAGGGTGAGTGTGATGAAGAGTGTGAGGGTTAAGAGAGAGAGAGAGAGAGACGGGGGTGAGAGAGGAGGTGGGGGGTGAGTGAGTGAGGGGGTGCGGGGGGGGGGTGGGTGAGCGAGAAGGGGGGGAGGGAGGGGGGGGAAGGGAGAATGATAAAGGGGAGGGTGAGGGAGAGGAGGGGGTGAGAGAGAGAGATGGTGAGGGAGAGGAAGGAGAGAGAGAGAGAGGGTAAGAAAGAAGAGGGAGGTGAATGAGAAAGAGAGGGGTGGGGGGTGAGTGAGTGAGGGTGGGGGGTGAGTGAGTGAGGGGGGGGGGGGGTGAGCGAGAGGGGGTGGGAGGGAGAGTGGGGTGGCGGTGGTGAGTGTGTGTGAGAAGGGACGAGGGGTCCTTGGGAGGGGTGGATATTCCTTCCTCGGGCGCTGACTGGTCTGATGGAGGGCTTCGGTTGGTCCTGTCCGGCGGTGGTGGTGGCGGAGTGGAGGGGGGGAAGAGCACAAGAGGAGTGTGTTTCATGTGAAGATGATGGGCTTCAAGTAACCGCGATGAGACTGTCACTTTGAAACCACCCGGCGGAGGGGTGTGGCAGGGAGGGAAAGAAAGTCTCAGGGCAAAGAGAGGGTGTACTACAACAACAACAACCACAAAATTAAATTTGTATAAGCTCCTTTCACGTCGGGAGGACGTCCCAAGGCGGTGGACAGACTTACGTTTATGGACCCGAGCTGGGGGTCGGGGTGGGGGAGGGTGGAGGGCAGGGGGGCGGAAGCAGGGAGATCGAAAGCATAGTCGAAGAGGAGGGTCTTGGAGGTGGCGAGGGAGGGGGCGAGATGGAGGGACTGCGGGGTGGAATTCCAGAAGGTGAGTGCAGAGCGGTGGAAGGCCCGCCCGCCCGCCAGTAGTGGGGTGAGCAAAGCAGGGGAGGAGCCCGCTGAACGGAGGGGGCAAACAGGATGACAGGGACCCATACGCAACCTGGGCGTCAGGTTCGACCCCCAATTATCCTTCCTCCCCCACATCCGGTCCCTCACCAGCACCGACTTCTGCCACCTCCGACGCATCGCCCGTCTCCGCCAATACCTCTCCCCAAAAGCTGCTGTTACTCTGGTCCATGCCTTTGTGACCTCTCGGCTGGACTACTCCAATGCCCTCCTCGCTGATCTCCCCTCCACTACTATCCATAAAATCCAAATCATTCAAAATTCTGCCGCCCGCATTCTCACCCGCACGAAACTCCGCTCCCCGATCCCCCCAGTCCTGGCCAGACTGCACTGGCTGCCTGTCCCAGAGAGGATCGACTTCAAGATCCTCACCCTCGTATTCAAATCCCTGCACCGTCCTCAAATCCTCACTCCCTTCGTCTCGCTCTCTCCCTTCCCATTTTCAGGTCTCTGCTGAAGACCTTTCTTTTCGACCGCGCCTTTGGTCACCTTCCCCCCCCTCCCCCTGGCTCGGCCCCGGGATCCGTTACTGTGAAGCGCTCTGTGACGCCGTCCGGCGTGGAGGGCGCTATATAAATCCAAGTTGTTGTTGTTGGTGTAGGCGGTTAGGAGGTCAGAGAAGTGGGGGTGGGGGGGAGGGCAAGAACTGTGGAGGGCTTTGAAGGTGAGGACCAAGATCTTGAACTGTATCCTCTTGTGTGATGGGAAGCCAGTGGAGTTGGGCAAGGATGGGGATGATAGAGTCGCGGAGCCTAGTGTGGGAGAGGACACGGGCTGCAGAGTCCTGGATGATACGGGCGGGTGTGCAAACAAGAAACTGGCAGAGGGGGTGTAAGAAACGGACTGATTGCGTCCACGTGTCCACATAGCACCTGCGAGAGAGAGGAGGTGAGAAAGAAGACAGGGAGTATGTATGGCAAAGGGAGTGAGTGGGGTTTCTGGGAGGACTGAAGCCCCAGTGAATATTCATTCACACCTCCCGAGGGCCTGTGTGTACATGCACATGTCTTGAGCCTCTGTTGATCTATCAGTGAGAATTTCTTTGTAGCTCCGAGTTCTGTTGGATGGCTATACTCTAACTGCAGCAGGTCCATGTACGTATTTGCCCATGTGTATTAGACATTCACGGTTGCAATTAGCCTGGACACACATCTGTATAGGGGTAGTGTGCATATTTTATTCCTATATCACTGCAACTGTGTCTACAGTTAGAGGGTAACCCTTACAGTTCTGGGTCTGTGCTGTCATCTCTGACTGACTGAGCTGAACAACAACAACTTGCATTTGTATAGTGCCCCTCGTTCAGGGTAGCGCCCCAGAGCGCTTGAATGCTGGAGGTTGTATACATAAAGTAACATAGGCTCACTAGCAGTTACACACGGCTTTAACAGAAGTCACAGTGGCATTGCTGGCACGTTTATGTGGCATTATCAGCAGCCATTACCGTCAACACCTACCACCTTGTGGAGGCACTTGGTCTGAGCAATAGTGAAATGGGGTCTTTATTTTACTGATGTACATGCAACAGTATTTATGTTTACAGACCTGGAGTCCCAGCTTGTTGGGTTGAGATGTTACCACCACATCTCAGCTGGACAAATGCATAAAAAGGTGGTCAAGGAGAGATTGGGGCAATCAGGAGAGCATTCCACCTGATGCCCTCATACTAACCCAACATGAGTGATCTGAATGGTGGGATCTCTAGTCTACCTCGTGTAGCTTAGGGCAAGTTTGAGCCAACCTTGTGAGACTGCTACAGGGCACCAACACACTTTGGGTATTACCAGCCCCTACTTCAGAAGAGCAATTTGTATTTTGTGTGTGCTGTGGTGATGGGTGGGGGGGTGCAGGTGGAAACCCTGGCTGTGAACATTCACTGCCTTCTCCAACCTCCCCCAATCCCAGAATCATCAGCATCCACAATCACCACAGAAAAAGGAGAAAAATACATGACCTGTGCTTGGGAGCTGAAACACCTATAGTTGTATTCATGTTCTTTCACTTTACACGCACGTATTTCGAGGATAGCTAGCAACACACCTTATAGCAGAATCCCTCAGTTTCTGCACTGGTAGCAGAGAAAATGTAGGTCCCACATCTAGGATTGGGTCACAAGTGAGAGGAAGCAGGCTTTAGGAAGTGTCCCCTCCGTCACCCACCCCTCCTCTCCCAGCTTTATTTCAAGTTATTGTTGTTCTGTTACTTGGGTTTGCAAATGCCCCTGTTGTTTGGGGCTGCACGTGTAAATAGTTAGGAGGCTCATGAGATTGTTGTACTGGCTCCTGTGTTGTTTTAATGGACTGATTCCTGAGTGACTGACCCGACTGCCATGGGCCGAAGGGCTGAGGAGCAGAGATTTTCACAGCAAAGAAGCATTCGTCCAAGGTTTCACCTCGCACATCCCAACATTCTCAATCTGGTTTCAAACTGACTGTCGATGTGGGTGTAATAGAGATAAGTATTAATTCCCCGTGTCCTGGGAGAGGCCACTATTTGGTCTTTGAAATGCTGAATCTTGTGATATGTTCTCTCACCGAAGCTATTTTGAATCAGGGATAGAACTGGACCAAATACTGGAAACTAGTCAGAACTGAACTCGGATCAGGACAAAACTGCTGGACCAGGTACAAGATATGGGACTAAACTGACAGGGTCCAGGATACCGAAAGTTTTGGAATGTTCTGAATCTTGGATCAGAATCCTCTTAAAGGTACAGTATCACTGAAAGAAGGAGGTTGTGTGACAGGGCTAGGCTGAGGGAATATCTCTGTTATTCCAGGGATCATGTAATCCAAGCCCTTCATTGTGATTGGCCTCCAATGACGTGTGGTTCATTTTCCTAGGTGTCGAGACAGTCAGGTTGAGCCTAAGCAGCTGCCCATCAGCAATTCAATCTTCATGTATCTTGTCCTTATTTTAGTTGTCAATAAAACAATGGATTTCTTACACACTCTTGTCTCCTCTCTTTCCCTTAACAACTAATAACACCAACAATCGATAATAAGAATGCATGCAACGAGAAATGGGGCAACACTCTCGACTTTGAATCAGGAGGTTATGGGTTAGAATCACATAGTCTATGTTGATACTCCAAAGCATTGCTTGGGTTGTGTTGCATTGTTTGAGTTGCCATCCTTCGAATGAGATGTTAAACGAAGTCCTGTCTGCCTGTTCAGGTGGATGTTAAAGATCCAATGGCTTTATTGGAAAAGAGAAAGGAGTTACTCTATTCCGGTGTCCTGGCCAACAATTCCCCAAATAAAATTGGTCAGTCAGTCCATGGCTGTTTGTGGGACACTGCTGTGTCCAACTGGCTGGCGCATTTCTCAATGACGAAATAAGGTACTATATCAAATGCTCAAATTATTATTCGTAAAAGACGATTGGCACCTCAGGTTTGCTTCTCTGCAGGCTTTGCACAGCCATCCTTCTCAGGAAGTCTTCTAGGAGCAAGAGAGTAACAAGGAAGATCCCTAGTGTTAAAGGAACCAGAGATAAAAAAAAACAACCAGATAAGCCTTAAAGAGAGATGTCTCAGAAGAATTTTTATATTGGTATTTAAGGTTCTGAAATGGGATTGAGGGAGCCAACTCAGAATTCATTCAGTATTATAAAGGCAGGAGGAACTGAGCTCAAAGTCTACTTTTCAAAGCCCTTCACAGGATACACTGTAAAGTGAATTGACTGTATTTTGTGGCGAAATGCAAGCAGCCAATTGCGCACAGCAGCGTGCCACAAACAACAACAACTTGGATTTATATAGCGCCCTCCACGCCGGATGCCGTCTCAGAGCGCTTTACAGTAACGAATCCCAGGACCGAGCAGTCGTGGATTGAGTGACCACATATTTTTTTGTAGTCTAGGATCCTGGTTGTTAGTCGATTGCTGGATTGCTTTTCCGG